GTGCGACAAGTTTGTGACCGCAGTCATGGTTTCCACACATGACTTCAAAGTATACTGATTGGCTTCAATATCCGTTTGCATCGCCATTTTTTGCTCCACAGACCGCATCGGAAAGTTTAACGGAGCAAAACCAGAGGTGTTTGGTTGAGGTTCACTGGCAACCGCACCGGTTACCTCTCTTGTGGACTCATTGAGGTCGGGAAAGAGAGTGAGCAGACTACGGGACGAAGAGGCCATTTTCTGGGCAACAGTTGTTACAGAGTATTCAGAGTTTCTCTCTCAGACAACGAAGAATTTTTTTCAAAGTTTTTTAGCAGGTTTTCTGCCTCCGCCTAAGCCTCCGCTTCGGTTTATAAAGACCATGACGAAGAGGCAGACACGCGCATCATGCGCCCCTTGACGCCAGACGACAAAACGGGCGCGCAAGCTAATGTGGTGACGCGCCTCGCCATCATGTCCGGCACACCTTTTTATGACTTGGGCTCGCCTTTTGATGGCACGCCTTTTGAAAAAGGGCACACCTTTTGAGGGTGCGACTTTTAAGGGGTCCGACAAACATTTACAAGAAATATTGTGGATTTAACCAAACTATCATCAATCAAGATAAAAACTAACTGCCATCTGTTGAAGCCAATAATACCTTCCTTTTGGCCATTCAAAGGACGTGTAGTCCATGAAAATGCCAACAATACCCAGATACACGAGACGGCCTTCTAAGCATGACCAAATTTTACGCCAAACCAACCATAATTGCAACATGATCTGAGTGAAATTAAGGATTCCATCATCACCCCAAAGCCAACAATGCTTGAGACTTCCTTGAACTAGCTCTTCAAAAAAATCCTTAACAGAAAATGGCAGAAGGCCATCCTACAAAACCACACAAACATGACTAAGAATCCACCCTATGCCTGCCCGTTACTCTCATTTGGAGTCATTCATATTTCTTATATGCTGCAATTAAAGCATCTAAAATAAGTTTCACCTTTCAAGCAAAGAAGCCAAGAAGCAAGAAGCAAGAAGCAAGCTCATTGCTGGGGTAATGCTAAAAGTAGTTGCAAAACTCTTTCTCTAAACACCAAAAAAAGGGTAAATTACAATAACCTCTCCTGAGGTTTGAGAAATAACAGCAAGCCCCACAGTTTTAGCACAATTCACTAACCTCCCTTTTAGCACAATACACTAACAAACAAGGTAAATATACATTTTCAATTTAAAAGGGGATTAAGTGTTATTATTAATTAAAAAATTAAGAGAACCCAACGTAATTATGCCAGACTTGTGGGGTTTACTCCAGGGGAGGTTAGTGTAATTTATCCTAAAAAAAATAACAGGAAAAACTATTTCTGCAGAAGTAAAGAATAAGATCAGACAGTTAAATTTCATTTCAACACCAAAAATTGAATTCAAATTCTTGCCTAAGCAATATGAACCTTCCCCTTCCCTTTAATTCTCCTCATAGGAGATAGGCCATTAGAAATCATTCCAAGAACCATTAAAAATCATCTTATTTGGTGAAGTTGTTCTCAATTTAATCAAAAGGCAACATAAAACAAGATAACAAATCAATAAGTATCAATTGGACAGGGTGGAGAAGATATAGCATTAGTTTCAATGATTATAACAAGGAAACATTTGCTCATGAGTTACTCAAGAATGCTTCAGATCTTCAATGCAAATGATCTAACATAAGCAGCATTTCAGAATTCCACACACACACACACAGAGACAGCGAGGGAGGGAAGGAACTAACTTTAGGCTACCTTGCCAGTTCTTGATTTAAGCATTGTCTAACCACTGTTGTCTGTTGTATCAGCCTTTCCATTGCTGAATAGCCGGGCAAGTTGGCATTTGTGGTATTCCAGTGAGTCACAGAGGAAGAATGAAATAAGAGATTCCAGTAACAACATTTAAAAAGAAAAAAAAAGAAAAGAAACAGCAATAATAAGGAATCAATAAATGGTCTTACAGGAATAAGGAAAGTAAATGAAAAGATAGAACAGAAATCTAGAAAACAAATATGAAATTTAAAAAGCAAGGGGATTTTAGGAAGGAAAAAAAATGCACCAAGAAATTGCTCTATTCAAACTGTCAGCAACATGGCTGCCGATAGTCCAAGCTAAGTAGATGGAACATTGGAGACTTTTCTGGTTCCTCATAAGCTAGCAAAGCCATTAAAGTCCTGCAACAGCAGTAAACATCTCTCATATCAATGAAGATCATATCAAATGAATTAGAAGTTCTTAATATGATTTTCCATCAGGTAGATACATACTTCAAGCTTGCTCAACATATTTTGCACCTTTCCAAAAGGGGTCAACTTAGTCTGAGCAAATTCCAAAGCTTCTGTGCTGCCAAAGAATGTTAAATTTAGAAAATGAGAGGTTGAAACTCTTGAGCTCTTTGCAAAAATCATTATTATTGTGCTCACCATTTCCTAGAACAGACAAGCTCAACAAAATGAAGGCTCAAAAGATCAAAATGCAAGTCCTGGTTTTTTATCCAGTAAGTCAAGTTGCAAATTGTTCTGTCAGTTCAATGGCCTTCAGTGCATTCCCATCTAATGCAAAATTAAAAATTCCTGGAAATAAGATATACAAGGTATTACCACCATCAGCAAGCAACCTGATGCTCTATCAAGCATAACCAAGTGTAGAAGCAACTGCTATCAAATAAAACTGGCAAGGTGGAGAGCTAAGAAACATGGATATTTCCAAAAGAAGTTGTAGAAATTTAATGTATAAAGAAAAATAGAGAATTGTATAGATATGATTGTTTATTGATTGTTGTATGTTTATTTATTTACAATGATTCATGATTCCTATATATAGAAAGAGGGATGAGTGTGTAGTAGGTGAGGAGTAGGTGAGGAGTAGGTGAAGTAGGTGAGTGTGTAGTAGGTGGTTAGTGGTAGGTGTGTAGTAGGTGAATTTTAACAGCCCCCGCAAACTCAAGGGGGATAGGAACTAACCAACTTGAGTTTTGAGAGAGTTACAAAACAAGAAATACATAAAAATAAAAGAGATAGGTGACACTGTATGGTCGTGTCAGACCATTGGTGAAGACACTGGATGGTGGTGTCATAACGTTTAGAGGACACTGTATGGGGTGTCATAACGTTGTAGAGGACACTGTATGGTGGTGTCAAACGGTGTAGAGGACACTGGATGGCGGTGTCAGACCGATGTAAAAGACAGTTTATGGGGTCATGTCGGAGCCGTTGTAGCAGACAATGTTGTGACAGTTTGTTGTGACAGTTTACAGAGTCTTGCTGGACCCTTGTAGAAACTAACCGGAATCAATGTCGGGACAGTTTACAGAGTCTTGTCGGACCCATGAAGGAGCTAACCGGAATCAATGTCGGGACAGTTTACAGAGTCTTGTCGGACCCTTGTAGAAAACTAACCGGAATCAATGTCGGGACAGTTTACAGAGTCTTGTCGGACCCATGAAGGAGCTAACCGGAATCAATGTCGGGCAGTTTACAGGTCT